TGTGTGTGTTACTGCCCAGCACCACAAACCACGCTGCCACAAACTACATTGTATTCATCAATTTACAAATGAAGCTAAATATAGATAATTCATCAGGTTCTGAATGTTCATATCTGCTTTTTGAAATGTGCGGAACTTTTTCAGAATTCCGTCTTGCATGGTAGAGGTAGTTATAGTAAACCCAAATCTGGATTCTCTTGTCACACCTCTAGAAAAATAAAAAATTATAAATATCAGTGTACATGTAAGTAAGTAGGTCAAAAATAATTGGTCAAATGACATTCATACAGAAGACCTGTTCTGTACGTACTGTATAATGCATGTACAATACTACAGTCAGAAACGCACATGTGTGTATGTATAATGTACATGTACTTCAAAAGTTAGTTTGAGGAGGTGTCAGAAAATTGACGTGAATGAATTTCTTGTCAACTTTGCTCTTCTTGCAACCAGCATCCGTTGAAATGTTTGGAAGCTAAGACTGTAAATGTCTCACCATCGTGAAATTATCAGTCCCTGTGTAACAGCTTCCTTGTCATGGACTTTGAACCATTGTAAAGTACATGTAATTGATTCTGCTGTTGAGTGGATGGCAGTCTTGTGTAGTCCAGAAAGGAAAAAAATCGACGCAGAACCTACATTTGTCTTATCACCGATAGGAATGGTAACAGATTATGTATTCAGAATTCCTTTACATGTACATGCAAACTGGAACTCACAAAATGTTCAACAATCGTGATAACTTACTCATGTTGAGACTATATTTTGACCGATGCTTCTCATAACATTTAATGTTCCATAATGGTAGCATGAAATTGTGCATTAAACTCCTGATATTTGTATTTGTTTCACTTGAAGTGTGTCTGTGGGCTTGAATACGGTATGGGTACCAGTGAACAATGCATACTACCGGTAATTGTATTTGCCAGACTTTTTATGTATGATGTATGTGTGTTGCATTGAGGAAATGGTTGAAGGAAGTGACAGATCTCTCAATGTACCGGTACTGTACCATTTTTAGTCATCCAAACCCTGGACACGCTTACACCCTCAATTTAGCATTTACATGTACTGTACATGTTGTCTGCATGCCACTATCAGTACATCCTTGTTAACCTCTCCCTGAGCTGTAGAAACAAACTCATTTTTTCTGACCCTTACTGTACAACATGGTTTTGACAACTTAATAATATAGCACCAGAAAATTCCACAGTTGTGGTTAATTGTGAAAAATGAAATCACACTCAGTACAACCAGTAGTCGCCAAATCAATCAGTGGTAACTTGAATTTACACGTGCCTGGGTACAAAATGGATTTTCAGTGTACATTTGTGGTCTGGGTGACTCATTAGATTGCCAAATACTCCAGGATTGTTTGTTAAGGTCGTGACTTTGGGTCAAGGCAAAGGGTAACATCTATCCACTTTCAAGGGGACTATGCTTTATTTTATTTCTACATTGTATTGTTCATTGTGGAAGAGAATGGATGCCAAAATGCTTTCAGTGTGTATATACATGTACATGTAACAATCTACACATACATGTACAATGTAGGTAAGGCCAGCTGCTGTTGTCTGCTGGGTATGTCCATGTAGCCTCCATGGTATGTCGTACTGTACAATGTAAATGTACACACTGTACGTGTATTGCAATTTCACATGGAAGTACTGATGTAATTTACCAAGTACATGTACGTGTACCTGCATGCGGTGTTTCCTAAACTGTAGTGACTGTACACGTGTTGGAAACTTTGCTTTCTGACACAAGTACATGTTCAGGGTAAGGAGTTTTTTCTCAGTTCTGTTGACTGGTATCATGGAGTAAGGAATATGCTCTCAACCTAATACTGAAGTGTGATGAATCTACCTGCCAGTGTTGCCGTTTAGTGCATGTGATTGTTCTTAATGCACATTTTCCAGGAATCTTTGCTTTCTTACTCCATTTTCCCCTGACATTTTTGCAAGGAACCTTTTGAATATGCATGCACCTAACCTTTAAAGAGACATAGATCCCATCAAAACTTTGTTCACAGGTGTTATGAGCAACTTAAATACTCTCTCCTGAAGCTGTTCAAATTCCCCTGCTGTAAGAGGCTTAGGTTGTGTCCAAAATGGGTGTCCGCAGCTATGGCTAGGTCCATTGTCTGCACTTCTTTGCATATTTATCCAGTGGATGGAGTGAAGACCAGAGACCTACAAGTTCTTTTAACTTTAGACGATAGATTCAGATGTAGCCGTATTTCATGAAGCTGATCATTTTCTTCCAGCTTCAAGTTCATCTTGTGAAGATAGCTAAGCCACTGTACAGTAACAACCATTCTCCCAGTCAGGAGTTGTACCACTTTTACCTTGTTCATCTTTTCTTTTCCAGACGCAGAAGATCTACCTAAGAAAGACACAATGAGACGAAGTCCACTCTTCAGCCAACCCAGTGGAACTTTACAGCACATTGTAGGTCTTATCCTATTGTCTTCTTTCATACTGGTACTCAATCTTAGAATTTGTTTGGAATGTTTTGGACCTTTTTCAATTCATTCCTAAAGTCACCCATCACATAATTTTAACAAAACCTGAGCCTTCCATGACATTGTTTTGGGTATCCCTGTTACTATGTTCCAAAAAAAAGGATACAAAGTTTTCATTCTCTTCCAAACAATGTTGTTGATGTCTGGGAAACAGTTCAGTAGTTTATCAAAAATGATTTTTCCAAATGAAAGATGGAGCTCTAAATTTTCTGACCAGCAAACCAGACAGTGACAGTATGTATTGTTGAACTCTCCACATGTGGTCGGTACGTGCATTGCTTGATCTAGTCACAGGAAGCTGATTTGTTCCAGAAAAATAAATACACTGTACCTTACTCATCTAAACTTATTTTCCAGGCACTTCACTTGAACATATACATGTAGATAAAATCTGGAGGAAACAGTGGATGAGAATATCATACATCATGGGTCATTTCGTTTGGCATAGTTGCCAGGTCATCACAGGTCAAATCAAAGATTGCAGATGTACACAGTACAAGTCCTGGTTGGGTGTTTTACAGAGCTTGTAAACACACACACATACATTGACGTATACATGCAGAGTTGGAAAAGACAACAGTGCTCATACATGTAGTAGAATTTGAGGAAAAAGCCCATATGTGATCCACTCAGTGAAAATGAGTCACAAGTCGCCAGAGCCACTTTGTGAATAAAAAGTCCTTCTGAATAATTTTGCACAGTGTAAATCAATAGGACCCCACAGCATTTTTCACCATGGAGTATCCACTTTCATCAGGATACCAAACTGAGTGATACATGTATATCAAAACAAAAAACTCAATTTGCTGTTTCCAATTACAAATGAAAACTCAAAAAGTGGCTCTGTCGACTTATGACTCATTTTCACAGAGCAGGTCACATCAGTGGAACGCTGCTATAACGAACAAGACAGGGTCCATGCTAAATGTTTGGTACAGCAGTCGTTTGGTATAGCAAATTTAACTGCCGAACGTTTCGTTGCCATGTTAAATAGCGCCCTCTCTTGTCTAAACGAAGTGCACCCTCTTGTAATACCTTGGTTTGCTGTTTTCGTGA